ATGTTTAAAAATTGTAAATAAAATAATATTTAATGTTCATATTACAATTTCATTTTATAATTAAAATTTTAAAAAATATTAAATTTTATTATACAATTTATAATAATTTAATTTTATGACTAATTATTACATGAATGATATATATTCATTCAACTATATGTGATCACATATGAAATTTTAACCCAGCTTTTTTTTAATTGAGAATATAAAAATATAGCAAAAATGATAAAAAGTAAATGAAAAATAAAATAAAGAAATGTGTAAAATGTGCCAGAGTCATTAGTTTCACATGGGAGAAGCCTCACTCCTTTCTCATTCATTTCTCTTGTATAATGAGTTAATTCTCATTTGTTATGGACCATCAAACAAACAAGAGACATTTGGGTTTAATAGTATGCTATGTAACATCGATACGACACGCGACACGTGACACGATATGATACGACACTCCAACACGTCAATCCTAAAAATTATAGATTTCGACACGTTGGGATACGTTTTAATATTAAATAATATTTTTAATTTATATAGTGTATATTTCATTTAATATTTAATAATTTAACAAAAAAATGAAACTAAATTAATAATACCCATCAACACGTTATAAAGATGGAAACTTTAATAAAAAAATAAGAACTGGATGAGAGAGATATAATATCAGATAAAGAGATGAAATCATATTAGAGAGAGATCAGAGACAAGGAGATACAACAAGAGCGTGATAGGAATTGACAACAATAATGCTGAGATGATCTCTTATCTACTTAAGGGAAAAAAAGACAAAAAAATGAAATTGATATGATCAGGTGGAAACTTTATTAATATATATATATATTTTTTAAAAAAATTTAAAAAAAAATTACGAAAATCGCGTGTCGGAATGGTCAACATGTCGAAAAAAGTTGACCGCGTGTCCGACACTGTGTCGGAGCGTGTCGCCATGTCGGAGCGTGTCGGACACGACTCTCCCTGCTTTTACAAGTGTTTGTACTTCCTGTACTTGTTATATTGAAACATTTCAAAGGAAAATTGTAATGGTTCTCCAAGATTTGGCCTTTCAGACATCTGCAGCTTGCCTTTCAAGGATTTACGTGATCTTCAACAATCTTCTACCCATCAAATAATTCATTATTAATAAAAAAAATTTCTTGAAATTATTTATTTTGCCAATAAAAACATTTTATGGGAAGTAATTCATATATATGGACATTTTTTATAATATAAACAGGCATGAATTGTTTCAAGTTAATCCTATTTAGGAAGACAAGTACAAGTATTTATCATAATATAAACATCCATTGGTTTAAATTGTTATTCTTTTGGAGGACAAATATGAAGTTTCTCTTTTATTTATTTATTTTTTGTTAGTTATGTTTCTCTTGTATTTAGAAAGTATGATAAAGCTATATGTTCTATACCCAATGGGTGCAGCTCAGTTGGTAACTTGGCTCTCAGTTAGTGGGGTTGGACATGTGTTCGATTCCTGCTGAATGCATTCTTGGGGAGGGGGCTGAACCTTTAGCCATCACTGATCCCCCGCACTCCGGATTAGTCTTATAGCCGGCTCAAAGAGTCGAAGCTCGTGGGGATACCAGAGAGAGCCAACTCGCCTCAAAGAGGTAATGAGAGTTGGGTAACTCCAAAACAAAAAAGCTATATGTTCTATCTTAGAGATAGAAGTGTCTATCAGTCAACGACTGATATATTGACTTTATCTCTTATTTATAGAGTTTACCAGTAGCTAATAGATTTCTGAACATTTATTGGCTTTTGTGAGGGTCCAATAATGGATTCATAGCTGTTGTACTAAGATTAGTGCCAACAAATGATATTTTTCTCTAATTTCCTCTTCTTGTTGCTATTTCTTGAACTTTCTAAAATACGAGTCTCTCATGCAGGGCCCGTAACACTATGTATCATATCTGAATAAATATTCCCCCCTAAATTATGGTTGTACAATTATTATTTATTAAGAAGATGATGACCAGAATGTCATTATCGTGGAGGTCAATCATATGCTACCTATGTAGCACCGATACGACACGCGACACGTGACACGACACAACACTCTGACATGTCAATCCTAAAAAATTATGGATTTTGACATGTTGGGACACGTTTTAATAGTAAATAATATTTTTAATTTATATAGTGTATATTTCATTTAATATTTAATAATTTAACAAAAAAATGAAACTAAATTAATAATACCCATCAACATGTTATAAAGATGGAAGCTTTAATAAAAAAAATAAGAACTGGGATAAGAGAGAGATATAATATCAGATAGAGAGATCAAATCATATTAGAGAGAGATCAGAGAGAAGAAGATACAACAATAGCGTGATAAGAATTGACAACAATGATGCTGAGATGATCTCTTATCTACTTAAGGGAAAAAAAGACAAAAAGATAAAATTGATATGATCAGGTGGAAGCTTTATTAATATATTTTAACTTTTAAAAAAACTAAATTTTTTTAAAAAAAATTAAAAAAAAATATAATTTTTTTTTTTACGAAAATGTCATTTGACCATGTCGGACACGGTCAAATCCGCGTGTCGGAATGATCAACGTGTCGAAAAAAGTCATCCGCGTGTCCGACACCGTGTCAGAGTGTGTCAGAGCGTGTCGAACCCGACTCTTCCTGTTTTTATAAGTGTCCGTGTTTTCTTGTATGCTACTATTGTAGATATCAAAAATCCTTATGAATTGCAATTGGGCAGTTATAAACAATGTTCAAATTGTTTGACAAAATTTGGTGCTTTTGAATGGGGAATGATATTTGAATGTGAGAGAGCTCAAATAAGATTAATTGGGTTAAAAAAATGAAAATTTTAAGTTTTGGTATGTACATTACATTTTTCTTGAATTCATAAATTTTTAAAAATTAAATTTAGTGTAATTATTTAATTTTTTTAAATATAAATGCATAAAAGAATAACAAATTATTTTTTCCTTCGTTCTTATTAGTTATCAACAAGGTGAATTAGTGACGAATTAATGCGTTATTGAATTTTAAAATCAAAATTAATTTATTAATAATGAGTTAGTAAGGATGTTGAAATCAGTTAATAATAAGAGTTATATGAGAATTAAGTAAGTCTTATGTTGCAAGAACAAGATTCCTCTCCTCCTACTAAGAGTTCAATTCCCGTGTCAATAATTTTTTTTTTTTTTTAAAACAAGTGGAACCCATTTGGTTGTATCCGCATGAAAAAATGTTCCTCCTACGTTGAGGAGAAAATGCAACTCCAAAAAAAAAATTGGTAAAATAATTATAAGAAGGTAGTATTCAAAAAAAATAATTATAAGAAGGTGAATTAATTGGGAAATTTTTTTTAGTGCTCTAGAACTACTAACAATTGAGTGGTTTTTTTTTTTCCAAAATGGAAAAAAGTGATTTCATTTAAGTCTCTCAATTTTTTATAATTTTCTCTCAATTCTTTCTTTTTTTATTTTTGGGAGGGAGCAGTGGAGCACCATGCTCACTGTGCACCAAAAAAGTCCTCATCAATCGGGAGATTGTGAATCTGTGATGACATCATTGACATGTGGTAAAAAAAAAAATTCAAGGAATTTTTTCTTTTTGAATTACAATGGGTACCGAATACTACACACACATAATACACACCCCACACCACTGGATGGTTTCAAACAATTATTTCAAGCTGTGCAGATTTGTCGGACAGACCACACCCCAATAACACCATACAGGATAAATATGTTATGATTTTCTCTAATTAGTGACAAAAAAAATTTTGTTCACATTTGTTGTATTTTGTTCGATCAGCCAGCAAAACAAGTTACTAGAGAATATAATATAGTAAGTTTTGTCTAAATATTTACAGCAAATTTAATAAATGAAAGATTGATATGTAATTTAATTAATCAAATTGTTATGTTCGGAATTATATATATGATTGGGAATTTCTTACCATTAACAAAACAATATAGTGTAATTTTTTTTTTTTTAAGAATTATGTAGTCTATTCTTTTCTTTTCTTTTTTTAAATATAATGCAGTCTATTCTATTGCAGAATAACGACATACCAACGCAAAGCATAAAACCGAAAATAACAAGCACACTTTATCACAACCAATAATGAAGTAACGTGATTCAACAAGTTATTTTCGATAATGACCACATCAAATTTAATTTTATTATCAGGCCCATGCCTGACAGCCTGAGCCCTGAGGGAATCCGGCCTAATATTAGTACGGTCTTGCATTATATTTTTGTTAAAAAAATATCAAATTTGTCTTGAAGACCCAATTTGTAATTTTCAAATAAAGATCGTCAGCAAAATTGATAGTTTATATTCTTTCAGTATTATGGCTATTTAAATATGTAATATTTATTCAAATCTCCACCTAACCAAATGACAAGTCAAGTAGCAATTATATGCATTTTAGAAAGAAAAAAAAAATTGTAGACTAACGGTGCAGATGAATTGTATAGATAATGTGAATTAACAATAAATGATTTCATAATTTTGACAGCATATGTATATTTTGTTATTAATGTGATGGCATATTTTCTATTTATCAGTTTAATACAACGAAAATGATTATTGCATATGAAAATCTTCACATTATCTTTAACCAGTTAATTATATTTTACTAATTGGCAAAGTATTTAAACTTCGATCAATATTTAAGTCATTATTAAGCTGTATAAGAAAAGTGAGAAACTTTTATTGTTCAAATAAAATTACCCTGTTCATTATACATCATTCGACTAAGGAAAAGTTTGATCTGGTCACGAAAGAATTAAAGTTAATGAAACAAACGGTGGTAGCTCACTTGACGCATAAGAGTTAAGCAGGTGGAGATGAAAACATGTGTTAAAATCTTTTTAATATTATTTTTAGGAGGAATCTAAAACTTTAATTCTGAATCCGTCCTGAATCAGATTAATTATGAACTAATAAATCGATTGAAATATTTAAAAAAAGTTAATGAACAATTCGAAAAGCAGGAAGATAGAAAGAGAAATGCTATGAAGTCAAGCTCAAAAGTTGCTCTAGATATTCAGGACCCAAATCCTCCAAGACAAGCACATTTTGGGAAGTGTTGATCTCTAACTGATCCATGTCATGATAGTTCTTGGTTTTCTTTTTACTAAGCTTAGTGGAGTTTTTTCTCATGGTGTAGTGCTTTCTCTTGAGTGCCAACACAGGTGAGGAACCTTCTTCACAAGGCTTATAATTACTAACCATGTCTTTGAGGGACTCCCTCACCACTTCCTCAGGGAAATTCAACACTGCTAAAGAACCCCTTGTTGAGAAAGCTGCTTGATCATAAGCCAAAGCTGCTTCTTCAGCTGTGTCAAATGTTCCAATCCACACTCGAACCCCTTTTCTTGTTGAGTCCCTTATCTCTGCCGCGAATTTACCCCATGGCCTCCTCCTTACTCCTCTGAACAGCTTTCTTTCCTTTTGTGATGATGATGATGATATTAATGGTTGTGACGGTGGTGAAGGTGATGATGATGCATGAGTTGTATTGGAGGAGACTTCTTGTGAGTCAACGCTACCATGAGATGCTGAAGAGTTGGATTCAGAGGATGATTCCTTGGTTTGTGATTGTGATTGTGATTGTGAGTGGTTGATGAAGTTGAAGGGAAGAGTGTTGTCATCGTTGAAGAAAATAAAGTTGTCCTCCCAAGAAAAAGGGTCCCCAGAAACAGAGGAATTTTCAGGGAAGAAGTGAAGGTTTTGGTTTTGGAAAATTGAATCAAAATCCATCTCTTGGAATCCTCTTTTTCTCTGTATGTCTATAGTTTTTTTTTCTTCTTTTGATGATTTATCTCGGTTGGATATAAGATAACTACTACTTGTGTGTCAGTGTGTGTGCTTTGAAGTTTGAATGAGGATCCGAGGAGCTTAGCTTGCCTCGTTTATATAACCAACCATTTAAAGAAAGGAAAGAAAACGACCCAAGAATGATATTTTTGGGTAAGGAGGATGTCTTTGAATATTTTTATAATTTGTTTGTATTAAAGAATGGACCTAAGGCCTAAAACCTTAAACTTAAGTGTGTAAATGGTTTAGGCCGGCCTACAAAGGTCTACGGTCTAACTTATATTAAGTTAGACTTGACTTTTACAAATAATAAAATAAAATAGGTCCAGATTTTTTTAAAAATCTATTTAGAAAATATGCTATAGATTTTTTTGTACATGTCAGACCTATAAATTTACAGGCCGGCCTCTATCATTTTATTTATTTTAAATAAAATAAATAAAATTATTATTTTAATAATTTTGAATAATAAAGTAATATTGTATTAATTATTCTTTTAATTGTTGAATGTTTAATAGGCTTAAACAGGCTAACAAGCCTAGGTCAATACTTTTATTTTTAAATATAGATCAGGTCAGATTTATAATTTGGAGCCTACACAGGTCAGGCCAAACCTAATATTTTTTACACAAACCTCACCTATTTAAGTCAAAGTTTAACTTAGCTTATTTATACTCCTACTTGTACTTGTAGTAAATCCTTTTCCTTACGATAAAAGGGTCAAGTATATTAGTTAATTTAGGCACGTGCTTCAAACAAATAATCAAGTGGGTGACTCTCAAACAACAAAAATTATACTTTATTTGGTTTGAAATAATGAAATTTTAATTTATCTTGAATCATTTAATTTAAAAATATATATATTAACTTTGTTTTATTTTTTTATTAAGTAAAATAAACAATACCATAAATAAAAAATAAATTTATATTTACTTAAAATTAAAAAATTAATCAATCTTAATTATTGTACAAAATTGTAAGTAACATTTATTTTAAAACAGAAAAAATATTTGTAAATAAAATTCTTACATATTTCTATGCTTATTTTAAAAAATAGAGAAATAATACGTTAAAATATTTTCTATTTTATTATTTAATAAATATAAAAAAATTATAATTTTTTTCATTTATGTACAAATATATATATATTTTTTGCAGTGGATGAAAACGCAACCCCGTTGGCAGTCACATAAGCAAAGACTTTGAGTCCTTATCACTGTGTCACACTAACGGTTTTTGACCTGAAAAAATGCGTTTTTTCGAAATGTTTCATCAGTTTAGTTTTTTAGTCATATATTATTGGACCAGGAAGGCAGGCATTAGGTGTCTAAGCACATAGTCGTCCACTTGATAGGTGCACATTTCAGTTCAATCAAGACATATTAGTATCCGATACATATCTCATGTCAGCAGTGACGGAACTAGGGCTAACAAATATTTAAGTGGGGTTTAATATTAAATTTTATTCAAAAATTTAGTCACAATTATTTAGTCACGTTAAAAATGTGATTAATTTTTGATTTTTAACCCAGGTCAAAATCTCACCTTACCCTTAAACGGCTCCGTCACTGCATGTCAGAACAAGGTGCATATCTCAAGTCAATCCAGTCAAGACACGTCAAAATCAAGTGCGTATAAACAATATGGACGCGCCAGATCCAGGTGTGCATTTATAGCGTGTTACAGTTAATCTCCGTCGTGTCGCAATTAGTCTCCTTGAATTTGTAATTAACTATATATGCAAAATCCTAATACGCATCTTTATGTATTAGTCTGATAATATATTTGGCTAAAAGAGCTAAACCGGTTAATATTTTGAAAAATGATTCGTCGGGTCAAAAAGCCCACACTAACCCTGTCACATATACAACATCCAGCAGTGGCGACTGGTGAATAGTAACAGTGATTGCTAGCCAGAGACTTGGCATGCAATGCATTACCATTTGCACAGATTCAGTGCTCGACGGCCAGCAATGTCGCATTTATAGTTCTTTTGCTTATACACTTCAATTTATGATTAAATTTATAAAATCGCATTCATTATTGTAGTTACTATGCCTGTATATATTACATAGCCTAAAAATTCAGATATTAATAATAATGTATTGAAACATTGATCATTCCAATGTCTTAATTATTATATTGTAATGCATCGAGTTTTCTATATACAGATATTATCGTCCCATTTAATTTGTTAAAAAAACAAGAGAAAAATAGAAAAAAAAATTATACTTTTATTTAACTATTCAAATAGTATTAGATAAAAAATAACTCAAAGTAGCTTCTCAAATCTTTGAATTTGTAATGCTCATTAAATTAAATTACGAAATTTTCTTCAGGACACAAAAGTGACAAAGACTAATAATTCCTACTCTTTTACTAATGTAATGTTATTGCATATAAAACTATACATAACACGATGGGTATAATAATAAATTTTGTGATATCTTATTTATGATATCACACAAAATTTATTTCTTTGCATCATTCGTCAAACAACTGACAATACAAAAAAATGTGTAATAACTTAATCATTTATTTTATTTTTTTGGAGATCTTAATAATTTATTTTATACTTTATCTGTTCTGTTCTTCGATATCAAACACAACCTCATTTTAGATATATCCGAAATACCTAAAGGGATTCTCGATATATTTAATAAAAATATAACATGTGTATTACTATTTACTCGCTCTGTTTTTTTTTTAATTTCATATATAAAATTAAAAATCAATATGCAGATTACATTTTTTTTATTAAAAACAGCATCATAAATACATAAAACAACTTTATATGAGTTTCCTTTTATTTTATTATGCCTTCTTTGTCCGCTTCACATTAGAAAAGAAGAAGAAGAAGAAGATATGACTTATGAGGCACATTACTTAGATTAGCGGAGACTCCATGAGAATGGGGTTGAGTTGAATGCAGTGTATTCTTCAATTCCAATAACCTGTCTCTGTCTAATTTCTACACCCTTTCCTGCATAAACGGCAGAATATGTATTAGTATTAAATCAGCCGTCAACGTGTCCTCTGCATTACAAATAAATAATTCAAGGCCAAATAAAACAACATTGTATTCTGAAAACCATTGTTGAATTTCGTTTCTTCTAGAAAATAGTAGGGGTGCGATCAACAAATTCAAATTAATTCAAATTGCGGTGATGAAATCAAAAAATTGATAATCAAATTAATCAAAAATTTAAAAAAATCATAAATTTTAATTGGATTTGATTGATTTTCGGTTTAGTTGGTGAAAATTAATCTAATCCACACCAATCCAATATAGTAATTCCTCTCTACCTATTGGGCTTTTCTTCATTCATAACTCAAAAAAATTCTAAACACAAGATCTATTAGCTCATCAGCTAAATTCAAGAAAAAAATCTAGCCACACTCCATCAGCAAAATTTCGTCTGTATAGAACTTCATATCTCATTGCCCAAAAAAATATTAGATTATCGTTTTACTGATACTCCTCTATTTGAAAAAAAAAACTTTACAAAGTCAATAGATACAAAAGATATGTTATTTGCACAATAATCATCAAACAAATTTTAGGTTTTTCAAAAAACCGAAAACCCATTCAATTCAAATCCAAAAAAATTGGATTGGATAGGATCAGATTTGGAAAAAAAATTCAAACCGAATGGAAGATTATATGACTAAATTGAAGAAATTGGATCAGATCGGATGATTTTTGCTTTCAAATCGATCCAATTCAGACCATAAACACCCCTAGAAAATAGTAATGTATATATCCACGAAAATAAAAGTATTGTGTTACACTAATTAATGTTAATTTTATCTCACAGCAAAAAATAATAATAATCATTAACGTTAAAGATTAGTGTTTGTCTTTTTAAAGGATATAAAATTGTGTCTTTTTAATTAAAACTATTGTGTTTTATGGTGAGAAAAACAAAAATTATGATGGAAAAAAGTGGAAATTTTTTTAATTTAAATATTAAATAAATATACTAGTTTTAACTATAATACAATTCTTTTTTTTTTTTTGGTAAACAAAATACAATTCCTTTGTAAGGACAAACATCTTTCTCTTTAACATTATTCCCTCTCAATATTTTAATTTTTGTTATATTTTAATTTTTAATTTTTTAGTACGTAAAAAATTTAGATGTCACTATTCCATCATAGATCAGCTAGAACATACCGCTCAACCTTTTTAAAGACTTTTGAGAAAAATTATGATCGAATCACAAATGAAATCCTCACATTAATGCTTTATTTTTTGAGTTCATTTTTTTTCTGATCAATGTAGATAACTTATCTACATTTAGGCCAAATTATGTCATTTTGGAATGGAAAACAAGGTATTTTTGTAATTATAATTTATTTCAATGTTATAATAGTTTTTTTATAATAATTTTTAATCTTTCAACCCAAAACGATGGCGTTTTGAGAATGAATATGGATAACTTATCTATATTCGTTGTAAAGACATTAAAATCTTATTTTTTATTAAATAATTAAGGCATGCAGCACAATCCTTTTACATTAGTCTTACATCTAATCTTAATAGTTAATTTTCGTATACCTGACAGTTGTAATTTATTAAAAATTAATAATCAATATTATTGTGAATAACCCAATCAATTATAATCATTTGATGTACGAAAATTAACGACTAAAATTAAATGTAAGACTTATTATTTTTATAAATAATATATAATCTGTTATAGACTTGTAGTATGAAGTATGAACTCACGGTAGATGGTACGACCCAAACCCATTTATACCGGGAAAAAAGTCCTAATCATCAAATATTTTCCCTATTTGTCTCCTATTCTTATCCTCGAACATTTTCCTTATTTGTCTCCTTTAACCTCATCTCTCCCCTCTCACATTGTGGTGTGAGAATCAACTGCCATAATAATGATACATGTATAATCACCCATCTTCTAGAATATGGATATATT